ACCTGATCAGAAGTGGAACTGTCCATAGAGGGTTGAACAATCCCACATCAATCATTCTTCAAGAAAATACCCCACAGACATGCTCAGAGGCCAGTTTATGGAAGCAATTCTTCAGCTAACATTCCATATTTGTAGGTAACTCTTGTTTGCATCTAATTGACACAAATTAACAAGCATTTCTAGATGCTCATAATTAAGACCTCCAAGGTCAACATTTCTCTCAGCATTCTTTTCTTTTATCATCCCACCAGAATGGTCCAATATGCTCTGCTCACAGTCTATTCAGGTTCTTTGCTAGCCTGATATCCTTGTTAGGATTGTTAGTATTTAGGCATTTGTACTGGCCTGCTTTTGGAGTTCTGACAGGACATGATCTCAGATTCTATCACTAAGAGCACCACCTGTGCACATTCACTAAGTTCCCTTTTAAAAGGGCCCTGACCACCTCCCATCCCCCATTTCTCTCTCTCTCTCTCTCTCTCTCTCTCTCTCTGCCTCTCTGCCTCTCTTTCCTCTCTCCCATTGCTCCTTTCTCTGGAGGATGGTCTCCCCATCCCTTTTCCCGATTTTATGATCCTTTTTTCCTGATAAAAATATCTGTTGCATGGTGTCTTTTCTCTTGAGCTGCATTTGCTGTGACAAAACACCATGACCAAAAGAAAGTTGAGGAGGAAAGGGTTTATTTGGCTTCCACTTCTATATCACTGTTTCTTATCAAAGGGAGTCAGAACAGGATCTCAGAGAGGGTGAGGCCCTGGAGGCAGGAGCTGGTGCAGGGTTCATGAAGGAATGCTGCTTAATCACTTGCTCAGCCTGCGTTCTTAAAGAACTCAGGACCACCAGCCCAGTGATGGCACTATCCACAATGGCCTTCCCCCATCGACCACCAATTAAGAAAATGCCCTACAGGCTTTTATACAGCCCAATCTTATACAGGAATTTTTTCAGCTCAGACTCCGTCCTCTACAGTGATTCTAGCTTGTGTCAAGTTGACTTAAAACTAGCCAGCAGAGCTGGCATTACAATCTCTTCAGTATTCCCTTTGTAAACCAGTTCAAAAGGCCTAAGAACCATATAGTCAGGCTTATCACAGCATGGTGCCACCGCTTGGCACCAGTTTTCTACACTCTCATATTTTTGCTAATGTACTCTTTCAGGAACAACTTTGAGAAGAAAGAACTGATTCTGGCTCATAGTTTTTGGTTACAGTTCACCTTGGCAGGGAATCATAAGCATCAGAGCTTGAGGCAGCTGCTTACACTGCACCCAATCATGAAGAGAGAACAAGGAATGTGTACAGGAAGCTTTTTTCTTTTTATGCATTTTGAGACTGAACCCAGGGAATTGTGATGCTTACCTTTAGGGTTGCTCTTTCACCTCAATTAACCTAGTCTAGATGATTCCTCACAGGTGTGTCCAGAGGCTAACCTATTCCCTAGAATCTCATGCAGAGGCTGACCTAATCCATGTAATATTTCTCAGTTATGTCCAGAGAATAACTTAAGCCATGGAATATCTCTCAGGTGTGTCCTGAGGATGACCTAATCTATGGAATCTCTCCCAGGTGTATCAAGAGGCTTGCCTCTTGAGTGATTCTAGGTTTTGTCAGTTTTATAATTAATATTAATCATCATGCTGATGATCATAGTTTGTAAACTTTATACCCCAAATCCAAAAATGTAAATGCCTGGATGTAATGGTTTGAATTATATGTCCATCCCCTTTCCCCATTGACTTGGGCTTTTGACTCATTCGTCCCCAGTTGGTGGAGCTGTTTGAATAGATTTTGAAAGGGTGGGACTTGCTGGAAGAAGTATGTCTTCGGGCAGGCTTTGAGAGTTTAAAAGATTTTCAGGTTTTTGCTTATTCTGCTTCATGGTTACTGTTCGGTACATAGAATTGTTACTAGAAGGTAATGCCTGCCACTATGCCTGCTTCTTCACCTACTATCATAGTGAAGGACTCTTATTCCTCTGGAACCAAAAGCCCAAATAACCCATCTTCTATAAATTGCCTTGTTTTTTTGTTTGTTTTATTTTGTTTTTTGTTTTTTGTGGTTCATCACAGAAACAAACAAACAAAAACAACTAATATACTAGGTGAGCAATTTATGTACTAAGGTATGCACACAGAATGTTTAAACCATCTTAGGTCATCTATGTCAATTACTGGTACCAAATCAGAAATCAAACACAGCTTTAAAAATAGAGGTATACATAAGAATTATCTCTTCCCTCCAGTCCAAGTCTTTGGGGATGAGCCAAAAATTAATCTTTCCTTCCTCCAATATAACACAATGACAACATAAATGACAATGTTTTTTCAAAATTATGAAAATAGTTTTAAATACTAACAAAGCATCCCATTTTAGCTACATTTTCTGTTTTTATTTAGAAAGTTTAGTAAAACAGGCATCATCAAATGTTTAGAAATATTTTAATCTCACTGTAATCCAACATTTAAAAAACTACTCATTTCTGATTTTCAACAATGAAATTTATAAAAATAATTTTTGCATTTATAAAATGAATGATATATCACAATAAATTATTTATATCTATCACCTGAAATAGTTTATTATATAAAAGCAATGACTTTTCTTAACAATATCATGAAAATACACTGAAAATATCGATTTTCCTTTGTCTACCATTTCTGGTAGCTTGGCATATAAAAATACTATATTACAAATTCCCTGACCATAGATATTAAGACAAAATTATTAGCAATATTTTCTAAAACATTTCTCTTTAGTAAATCTTCATGAATACATTATTCACCACAATATAAATTTTATAATTTTCATTTAAAAATTATTTTCTATGGTCTGAATGCCCATATGTCTCCTCATTTATGTTGCAAGGAAGTCAAAAGTGTGATGTTGTGCAAAGGTAGGGATGCTAGCAGGTGAAGAGGTCCTGAGGGCAGGGCCTTCATGAGTGAGAATGGTGTTCTTACAAAAGTGGTCCCCTGAGAGCTCTCACATATCACCATCTACAGATCAGAGAGAGAATCTGATAATGCCTTGGTCTTAGGATTTGCTATGAGCAGAGCTATGAGAAATAAATTTCTGTTATTTATTTTTCCCAGCATAAGATATTTTGTAATAGTGGCCCAGATAGACTATTTTTTCTTAAAAGAAAAAGGAGAATAACATTAAACAAGTAAACAAAAACCTGCAGATGATATTTGTACTCATGAAATTTAATAATTTCCTTATTTTGTGAAACAAGAGTAAATTTGCAAAATATAATAATTAAGAAACCCCCTATCTCTTTCTCTTTCTCTTCCTCCTCATTCCACCAATGTTATATTTTAGTTTCACAAGGATAACAGCATTTGAAGAAATACAGTTGATTCTGTGAAACTGCTGTTAGATGTCACATTGCTTTACTTTTAGAGCCAAGTTAGTTGATATTAAAATGATCTTTGTACTTGTAGGTAGGTGGAAATTATGAGTCATAATCAGAGAAACTGTGAAGGTCACTGGAAAACTTTAACCAAAAATCTTCCATCTTCAAATGCTTTTTTCTTTTGATATGTGTTCAATTTCATATAATTATACAACAATATTTACATCTCCATATTCAAACATTTTTACTGCTTCTGTAAACATAAGAGAGGAAAAAGCAAGAGAGGCAGGAAGAAAGAGAGCAAGAACCATTGCTGTTTCATGGGGTGTCCTTTAATTGATGATTTTAAAATAAATCCCAGGTGTGGGTAATTTGAAGTAGTTGGGAGTACTTCTCCATGTAGAATTAGATGTTCAATATATTTCTATGTTGAAAAATTTCCTCAGTCATCAAAAAATGATCTAGTATACTTTTCATCTTCTTCAATATTCTAGATGAAGGTGTGAGGTTGCAAAGGGTACAAAACTGGTCTCTTGCCCTCCTTGCAAATACTGTAAGCAGTTTTGTACTTGTTAGCATTTATGAGTACCATGGCAAATACTATTCCATTGTCAGCCCCTGGGTAGTTTTAAAAAAGCACTGTAGACTTTCATGTGTTCTTTTCTCACCCAATCTTACTAAAGCCAACCGGAGCTGGGTTTGCACAAATATGTTCAATGACTTGTTTCACAACATAATTTCTCCCAGTGTTGTATAACTTGAATTGACACAGGTCTTTATAGAAAGACTCTCTTGGCTTCCTAGAGAACTAGTTTGGGGATGCCCTAAGTTCTAATGAATGAGCAACTTTCCCCATTCCCAAGAGGGAGCAATGAATGCCCCTTTTGGTTGAACCATTGTTTAGCATTTCTTTGTTTTGCTTTGGCTTGTATCCTCACTGAAAGAAGAAACATGTCTTCCATTAGCAGAAGAACTCTTCAAATACAGTCACATTGCAGAGAATACTCAGTCATCATTAAAATGGCTTTAGTTCTCTAAATTTAACATAGAAAATTTTACTGCAGGCAACAGGAGGCTCTGATGTATTATCCTCCAAAGAGATATTCTATTCTACAGCTACTGCTCACCTTTTCCAATCTTCAAGTTTACAATTTATTCTTTAAAAAATTGCTCAGTTTTTATATTGCCTAGTATTTCTGATCTACTTTTAACCAAAAAGAACACTTAATTCTGTATCACTTCACAACAAAGCAATTATTTACAGATTTAAATTAACATTGTGAAAAAAAAAAAAGAAAGCTGCACATAAGATCCCAGTAGTTTGGGCAGTGCAGGGATAGTTGGAAACAATACACTATAAAACAACTTCAAATTGAAATATACATAGGTTGCATTTGAAAGCTTGACTTTACAGCAACAATAAACATAATGTGTTACAAACAAGAAAATAGGATACCACCTTACAACAGCACCATGAAGAAGCCTTGACGAAAAGTTGGCAAAAGTACCATCCTGAGACATTTCAAGACCAATGTGTTTCACATTTACACAGTACCATTCAGAAGCAAGAACACTCTCACAAGGGCTTTTGTTTAGAGAGGGGCTGGTGTGAAATGACTGAAGCTTGGTTTGCAGTGATTTTGTAGTGTTCTTGTCCAGAGCCCTGGGGTGGGGAAGGGAGTGGGGTTTCTGGAGTTGCTGAAAAGGAAGCACAGAATCATGTATGATAAAAGCAGTCACTCTGCCTTACCACACAAAGCCCTACATAATGTCAATAGGCATTATTATATTTCAAGTAAAAGGTTACATGCAGAGTATTGATGATTATAATGAATTATCAGGCCACTGGTATACTAATGGCAAGACATTTACCTTCCCTTCCCAAATATAGCTAAACAATGATAGGTGATCATGCTAAGCAATCTGTTTTCACTTCAAGATGTTCCCTGCTTTTCATTTGTTCTCCATCATACCCACAATAAAGAAGTTAGGGAAAAGAATTAATAGAACATTGATTTCTCCCAGGTACTAGAAAAAGCAGTCTTCATAACATCTGCAGTCAAGATATGCATAAAACTAAAATATATGTGGGTTGCATTACACTAGTTCATATATATGAGATGATCTAAAAACTAAAATTCAGTTACTTTAAAAGACTTTTGAAATCTAAGCCACAGTCTGTAGCCTCTGCAGCATGCTAGTTTGTTGCATCACAATCCTATTATAATTGAGCTGGCCTTGTTCATCCCCTTCAATGCTAAGAGCAAGACTGCATAATCAAATAGAAAATAATTAAATAGAAAAAAATTCAATTTAAATTTTTTTGAAACTTAGTTTGAATACTTTATTGTGTAGGAAAGTACTCCTTCCTATCATGAAATTTTACCATATTATAAAAAAATCTATATATTCTTAAATTTTAGAAAACAGAATGTTTGACATAACTAGCAGAAAATGTTTTCTCACATTATTAAATTTATAGATTTTTCAGTTTTTAAAGAATGCCTACAAAAATAAGAACAATCTCCTTGTGGCTGGTACCCATTAATACTTTGTATTATTGCTAAGTATGGATTAGCAGTTACTTCAAAAGGACATTTTTAATGTAGTTTGATTGAATAGAAATAGAGAAAATGGTTTTAAAATTTTAAGGTCTTCCTTAAACACCAAGAAAACACTGATGTTTTAAATTGGTGTTTAACATCTATCTAGGCTTTGTATGTAATAAAAACAGGTTCAAGCAAGCCCAAGCAAAGTCAAATTTTGCTTTACAACAAGTCTCATGACTGTGGTTCTGAACAGAAAAAAAAACAAAAAACAAAAAACAGTGTAGATGTAATTCTTAAATGCTGAACACTAGCATTTTATAGGTGAAGGAATTTACATCTGGTCAAGTTTTCAGACTCTGCCACCCAATGCCTAGGATGAGTAATGTGTTGCTAATATGTTTTAATTTCTGAGTTTATAAATAACAAGTTTCCAAGGGACAGAATTCTACAGACTCTCAAGCATTGTGTTGGGCTCTCCTTTCTGTTCTTTAGCATTAATGAAATGAAATATAGCATTACAAGGGGATGGGAGAGAGCAATGAATGGGTGAATATTATTGAAATTGTTTATACAGATATGTTTATATATCATAAATGCATTATTTTGTTCAATTAATATTTCCTAACAAAAAGTATCATTTAGATGCATCATATTATTTCAAACATGTATAGTTTTTTTCTGACAAGTTTTTTTTATTTATGAAACCATCACTGGTGTCAATAAAATATAGGATATTAAAATATCCATCAGCACTTACTTCTAAAGAACAGAATGATAAGAGGCCATTCTTGAACCTTAACTTTTCCTGCCATAGACTGATACTCTAATGGAACTTCCAAAATGTACATCAATGTTATAAGTAGTTACTAAAAATATTGTATATTCAGTAGGTAATGCAAACAGGTATAAAATTATATCACAATAATTAAAGCCAGTGAAGTGCATTAGCTGGTTTGGTATTAAAAGAAAATAGATGAAAGGTAAATTTTGGATTAATAGGTATAAATTCATAAGCAATGCTTTTGTTTTATTATGAGGCATTTCTTCAGATCACATAGTGACAGCTTAGTCTCCAGCTGCTGGTGCTTTGGAAGTGGTGGAAACTTCAGCTTTGGAAATAGATCTCTGTAGAGTGTCTCTGGAAAGTGATTTGTTCCTGCCGCATTGCTAACTCTTGTTCTCTGCCTCTTGGCTGCTGGGAAAGGACAGCTCTGCTGCTCCAAGCCCTGTGTCTTATGCTGTCTTGTCACACACCTGTGCAGTGCAGTTTAGCAAGCACCTAATGAAAGCACCGAAACCATGCACCAAAACAAACTCCCATGTCCTACCATGGTGATAAACATTGACTAACATAAATAGCGAATCAATTCTAGATGCCATGTCAAATAGAACCTTTATCCCCAGAGTAGCTTAGAAAAGTAAAACCTGCATTAAATCAAAACTAATGTGTAGTTAACATCCTCACTGACAACCTGTAATAATAAACAGTTGTTTGAATTCTAAAGAATTTTCATAAGTAGCCTCATCTTGTACAATTATTGTATGCCAGAATTCCAGTTACCATGGCTTAGTTAAAATGCACTACTCTTTTAATAACATGGTTTAAAATCTTGTTACCATGGTAACTTACAATTGCCCCAATACCTTCATAAACAAAATTTATTCCCAACCTTTCTTCTAAAAACCACTACCTAAATAACAGATGTCTTTATGATAAGCCACTGATCACAAATATCTCTCTGTCTGTGATGGGTCACTGACATCTTTGATTTAGTCTAGGCAGATGACACAGCATGTGGTTGTCTTTCTTTCTTATCCCTGCAATGATAAACTCAGGTATCCATTTACAAAAATGGATAATCAAAAGGAGAATTGACCAGCAGCGATGAAAAGCAGTGAAGAAACAATAAACACTAATGCCAAAAATTGAAGTTCAAATCTACACAGGACCATGGTAGAAACAGCACTGCAGATATTATTGCTGCTAGAAGCTATAAACATGTATCTAGGAATTTGATAGGATTTGGATAAGTAAGGGAAA